ACTGGCTGGCCCCTGTGTGAGACGGGAGGCTGGACTAGAGGGACCCTCCCTGGTCTGACCCAGCAGGGCTCTTCTGATGTTCTTCTCAGGGGAAGGCCTCGGCCTCTCTGCCCTGTTGTTGGCCCTCCAGAGGGACTGGCTGGCCCCTGTGTGAGACGGGAGGCTGGACTAGAGGGACCCTCCCTGGTCTGACCCAGCAGGGCTCTTCTGATGTTCTTCTCAGGGGAAGGCCTCGGCCTCTCTGCCCTGTTGTTGGCCCTCCAGAGGGACTGGCTGGCCCCTGTGTGAGACGGGAGGCTGGACTAGAGGGACCCTCCCTGGTCTGACCCAGCAGGGCTCTTCTGATGTTCTTCTCAGGGGAAGGCCTCGGCCTCTCTGCCCTGTTGTTGGCCCTCCAGAGGGACTGGCTGGCCCCTGTGTGAGACGGGAGGCTGGACTAGAGGGACCCTCCCTGGTCTGACCCAGCAGGGCTCTTCTGATGTTCTTCTCAGGGGAAGGCCTCGGCCTCTCTGCCCTGTTGTTGGCCCTCCAGAGGGACTGGCTGGCCCCTGTGTGAGACGGGAGGCTGGACTAGAGGGACCCTCCCTGGTCTGACCCAGCAGGGCTCTTCTGATGTTCTTCTCAGGGGAAGGCCTCGGCCTCTCTGCCCTGTTGTTGGCCCTCCAGAGGGACTGGCTGGCCCCTGTGTGAGACGGGAGGCTGGACTAGAGGGACCCTCACTAGTCTGACCCAGCAGGGCTCTTCTTGATGGTCTCATGAAGACCTCGGCCTCTCTGCCCTGTTGTTGGCCCTCCACAGGAAGTGGTTGCCCCCTGTGTGAGACAGGATGCTGGACTGCACAGACCCTCCCTGGTCTGATCCAACAGGACTCGTCTGGTGCCCCTTCTGCATCTTAGCCCCTGACCTGTCCTGGTGCTAGACTCGTTCACTTCTTAAGACAAGGGTCAAAAAGGCTCCTTCATCATTCCACCCCCAACAAGGACACGCCTGCCACACTGCTGGGCCGAGGATCCTCCGCGCAGCCGGCTGCCCCAAGGTCCGGAGCGCCAGGCAGGCCGGAGGGAGCTTTGTCTTCGAGTGCAGCCAGTCGAGCGCCCGCCACTCCCCGCCCGCACTGCCAGGGTCCAGCCCCGCCCCCGCCTGGCCGGCACTCACTTGGAGAAGTTGGCCAGGTTCTGGATGACCTTGGCGATGAGGGTGAGGGTGCGGGACGTCTGCTCGTCGGGGTACTCCTGCATGAGGCCGAAGAGGCTGGGGGACATGACGGCCGGGCACAGGAAGCGCAGGAAGAGAGAGGCACTGATCAGGCGGTCGGCGATGTCCTCCCTGCCCCGCTCGGCACAGCGGAGCCTCCAGGACGCAAAGACCTCCTTCAGCTCCCGAGGGAACACGCTGCGGTGGGGGGGAGAGAGCAGAGTGAGCAGGCCGCAGCGGGAGTCCCCACCGCCCCCTCCGGCCTCCAGCACCCCACCAGCACCTCCCCGCTGCTGCAAGCCCGCTTGCTGGCCAGAGGCCTCTCCTGCCACCGGCCAGCTCCCGGGGCCCCTCATGCTCCAGAGCCCGGCCCCACCCACCCCCGGCCAGCCCGACACTGACCAGTGGGAGTTGACCACTTTGCAGAGGGCCAGCTCACAGCACATGCGCAGGTTCGCCTGATGGTCAGCCAAGGTGGAGGCCGAGCACTTCATGGGGTCCACCTCGCAGTTCTCCTCCGACTCGTATAATGCCCGGATGAACTCGCCTGGGAGGGGAGGAAGCAGAGCGTCCCCCGTCAGCCTGCTCCAAGGGCTGCCTCCCGGGACGGGGAAGCAGGATGCCACGGCCGCTTCCGGGGCAAGGCGCTGCAAAGCAGGGTCTCTTGTTTCTTTCTCTCTCCTCCCCCCTGCAAGGAGGCCCCGTTTGCCTGCAGCAGGAGCCACGGCTGCCTCAAAGCACCACCGGGTTCAGGGCGAGGCCCGGAGCCCTCCGTCTTGGGGAGACGCTCCTCCCTGCTCTCCCAAATGCCCTCCCGGCCGGCCCGCACCTCTCTGGCCTCCGCCTGCTCCCTCCCCAGCAGCACCACGCCCAGCCCGGCCCTCACCAATAGCATCCTTGAGGTATTTTTGTCCAATCAGTTTGAGATACTCCTCTATGGCTTTTGTGGCCAGCGTGTTCTCCCGGAAGATCAAGTGCTCTCGGTCCATGAAGCGATCCACTTCCGTCATGGCCATGTCCGACAGAAAGTCCTGCAGGGAGTGTCGTGGGTGGGTGGGTGGGTGGGTGAGGGCCGTCCGTCCCTCGACCGCCCCGCCGGCGTGGGCCCCCTCCTTCCCCAACCGCCCCGCGGGGGGGCCCCCCATTACCTTCGCCTTCCCCGTGCTCTGGAGGATGTGCACCAGAGCGCAGGCCACCTCCTCCTTGCTCTTGACGCTGAGGACGGACTCCAGGACGGCGCACAGCATGCGGTAGTTGTTGGTGACGTACTCGGCGAACTCCTTGTAGAGCTCCATGGGGAGGATGCTCATGGTCTGGAAGCGGCTCTTGACGCGGACGGCCGGGCAGCTGGACTTGCTCTTGCTGGCGCTGGGCTGGCTGAGCGGGTACCACTGCTCGGCGAAGTGGCGCCCAGTCACGCTGGCGATGGGGATGCTCACCATGCCCACGTAGTTGCTCTTGTCCTTCTTGCGCTTCTTGTCGGTGTCCTTGTAGAGGTGCAGCCGGACGGTGCGCACGGCCGGCAGGTTGTTGAACTCGAAGTGCTCCCCCCAGAAGACGTTGTCCGTGCGCACCTTGCTGGTGGTCCGCGCGTACAGCATATCGTCCAGGCACAGCTCGCAGTAGTAGCGCTTCTTGGGGGGCAGGTCCCGCGCCTCGATGATCCAGAGCTTCAGCACGTTGTCCACGCGCCGGCTGTTGTCCTGAGCCGCGGGAGGGAGAGAGGAGGCGAGCCCCGTCAGCGGGGCGGAGGGAGCTGCCGGGTGTGAGCGGGGTGGGGCCCCAAGGCAGCTTGGGAAAGGTCTCGCTTGTGTGTTAGTCGCTGCACCCTAGGCGTGCACAAGCGGGAGCATAAAACGTCAAATATTTAAAACAAAGCTAGCGCCCTCCCCACAGAAACCGCCCACCGTGTTCCGCAGCCGAGTCCAGCCGCTCTCTGGCCCACATGCTGAAAGTCGAGAGGGGAGGCCCTCCTCCTCTCCTCCCGGAGCCTGCTCCAAATCGCAGAGCTGGAAGGGGCCACAGAGACCGTCTACTCCAACCCCCCCTCCCCCACTCAATGCAGGATCAGCCCCAGAGCTTCCCGGACAAGAAGTGCGACCTCAATGGTGCGACCTCATTTGGAATACTGTGTGCAGTTCTGGTCACCACACCTTAAAAAGGATATCATAGCTTTGGGAAAAGTGCAGAAAAGGGCAACTCGAATGATAAAAGGGTTGGGACACTTTCCCTGTGAGGAAAGGTTAAGGCGCTTAGGGCTCTTTAGCTGGGAGAAACGACGACTGAGGGGAGACGTGATTGAGGTTTATAAGATTATGCATGGGAAAGAGCAGGTAAAGAAAGAGGTACTTTTCTCCCTTTCTCACAATACAAGAACTCGTGGGCACTCCATGAAACTGCAGAGCGGTCGGGTTAGAACGGATAAAAGGAAGTACTTCTTCACCCAAAGAGTGATTAACACATGGAATTCACTGCCACAGGAAGTGGTGGCGGCTACAAGCATGGACAGCTTCAAAAGGGAATTAGATAAGCATATGGAGCAGAGGTCCATCAGTGGCTATTAGCCACAAGGTATAGCTAGGGGCTCTGGGGCAAGTGATGCTCTGTCTTCTTGGTCCTTGGGGATGGACTTCCTGATGGCACCTGGTATTTCTGGCCACTGTGTGACAGAGTGTTGGACTGGATGGGCCTTTGGCCTGATCCAAAATTGGCATCTCTTATGTTCTTAA